TCTATCTATCTATCTATCTATCTATCTATCTATCTATCTATCTATCTATCTATCTATCTCTGAGTCTGTCTATCTGTCTATCTATCTATCTATATCTATCATGTATCTATTTAGAAAATTGATTTGTAAAATGTATTTATAAAATGGGTGGGGGGAAGGTGGGATCATCTGTTATAACTCAATCAACCATCTGCTCAATCAAAGACCGTTTTGTCTGCCTGTTGTTGTTGTTTTTGTTTTTAGGCACGGAAGGGAAAGCTGGCATGGCTGCCGTCGTCGATAAGGAACATTCCTGCGACTTGGAGCGGTTTGCAGCAGAAATGAAGAAATCGTTGCCGGCCTACGCCCGGCCGGTTTTTTTGCGCTTGCTGAAGGAAGTGCATCAGACAAGTGAGTGCGCCATTATACAATTGGACGCGGCATAATTGAGACGGCTAGTTTCACGCTAAGAGCCAGAAACATCAGAATAACAGAGTTGGAAGGGACCTTGGAGGTCCTCTAGTCCGACCCCCCTGTTTCAAGCAGGAGACCCTACACAATTCTGGATAAATGGTTGTGCTGTTTCGTCTGCAGCGATGGCGCACCCACAACTCCCGGGTGTAAGACGCTAAGACAAAGACGCAGGCATGTCTTGAGCAGAGGTTTGAAGCTGCAGGACACAGCTTGACAAACTGAGTTTATTGCTTCTTATATACTTGTTACAAACACCAGCTTAACCATTAGATGCTGACAAAGGTTTCTTCATTGGAAAATGTCTTCATGTAAGCATCTATTTTCTAGTAACAAATTACATGGTCAAAGACCAGGTAAGAACAAATACAGGTAGATCAAAAGGAGAAAGAACTAACCAAGACAGGAAGAGATTTAAGCATATTATCTGTTTAGGTAGGTGAGGCATTAAGTCAAAAGGATATGACCTTCTGGCTGCTTCACTGGGACAAAGGGTATCAAAAGGTTATGAGGTTTGTGTGTGGGGGGGGAAAGCACGGCAGTTTGCTGCGTGTGCATTTTTCCCCACACCTGGGAGGCAAACTTTGTGTAAAAACACCACCAGGGTCTTCTAATGGCGCTGGGGCTTAAAGGAATCCTGAATAAGTTTTGGCTTTGAAGTTGACTTAGCCCTTTGAGAGACTCCTTCTCTTTCGTTTGCAAACCATGATTAATGGTTTAGCATCCTGCTTAATCCTGCAGAGGACCGTCGCTTTGTTCAGCATCCAAGATAAAACCGTGGGTCCAGTGAAGCAGTGGCCCGAACTGCTGTTGCACCTAAGGAACAAATTGTTGGCAGACACAAATGACAACGAAATGTCATTTTTTTTCCTGTTTGTTTGTTTATTTAAATTTGTATACCGCCCTATCTCCCTTACGGGACTCAGGGCGGTGAACAGGCGATAATAAAAAACCACAATAAATATCTATTCTAAAATCAGATTAAATAAATAAAGGCCTGCTCTAAAATACCCCATATAAAAACCTGTACTAAAACCTAATTAAAACTACGCCAGGCCGGCCACACGGAATAGATGGGTTTTCAGGGCTTTTTTTTCCTGAAAGGGGAACGTCTCCATTTTTATATGCGTATGAGAATTCCTCGTACATATTTCATTTTGGGGGGCTGTTTTGCTTTCTTTCTTTTTTCCCTTCATTTAATCCACTCGGCTGGATTAAATATAAAAGCCAACGACTTTTCTTTAGAAGACATATCACGGCTTGATGCAAGGAGTAGATTTTTCAATTTAGTTTCCTTGCCTTGCCAAAAGCAAAGAGAAATGACAAAAAAAAACAACCCCGATCTTCCTTACTGTACGTGTTGCTTTTTTTTTTTCCTCCTCCCTCCCCTCCCACTTTCCTCTTAGGCACCTTCAAGTTCCAGAAAGTCGATTTACGCAAGGAAGGATATGATCCCAGAGTGGTGAAAGATAAATTATTCTACTTGGACTCTCGGGAATGCCGGTATAAGCTATTGGACGAAGAAATCTTCGAAAAGATCCAGTCGGGACAAATCAAGCTGTAAAAGGAGGGGAGAGGAATCAAAAGGACTTTTTTTCCCCCCTTCAAAAACTCATCATATCCTTCGGTGCAAGGACTTGGGATTACGATGGGACAGGAAAACTGGAAACGGTCAAGTCAGTTTCTGGGTTTGGGCTCCCTCCCCCTTGTTGCCGACCACCTCCCGACCTGACGCCAGATTAGAGGGGGGAAAAATTACGATTAGCGTTTCCCGAAAAAGGCACCGCAAATCTTAAGTTTTTATTTGATTGTGGGTTTTTTTTTTCCCCCGGCAGCTTGGATGATTTTACGTAGCGTCGGCTTGACCAAAGCACAGATGATATTTCAGCTTTCTTTTCTCCTTTTGGAAAAGTGTGTGGATCTCTAGCAGATCCCACAAGGACTAGCTTTCTTTGTCCCTTAGCTGGGACTCCAAAGCTCATCATCCTCCCTGTCTTAGGAGGAAGATGGTTCAGGTGGTTCTCCCAATCAAAGCATCTAAAAAACACCAAGAGCTGCAGTGTTTGGGGATTACCTCTAGGCGGCGCCCTTGCGCTGCCTTTCTCTGCTGACCAGCCATTCTTATATTTATTTTAGTGGGTTTTTTTTTCCTCTGCTCTTCCTTTTAATTTTTATTGGTTGCTATTTGCAAAGCACAAAAGAGGCAGCCTGGTTGAAGAAGGTGCTTATCGGCCCCAACTTTGCTTTTTTCCAAGATGAATTTTTTTTGGGGGGGTGGGGAACTTGCTGTATCCGCCTTTTAATTGCACGGGGGTGTTTTTCAAATGGAGGTAAGGATTTGCCTTCCAAAGTTAAAACTTTGCACAGTTAGGGGGGGAGATCTCACTGAAGGAGCAAACAGATTCCGTTGTTTTTTCAGTCTAATGCAATACACCCACACCTACACACACACGTATCCGGTTGGCCTCTGGTTGGTTTCTAACGCACATCCAGGTTTATTCAGTTCTTCGACTTTTGGAACAAAAAGGGCTTTTTTTTAAAGGAAAAAAACAACAAACAAACCATGAGCCAAATGCTGTGACGGGCTATTTGTGCCCTGAGCAATTGCTTGCCTATCCCGTTTTGCCCATCCCGAAAGTTCCTCATGGGCCTTCAGCCTGGCTGCTTTTCAGAAGTTTGAAATCCACGTTCTGATTTTTCTGTAGCGAATTAAGCGATCTGTAAGTCCAGCTCAAATTAGCTTTCTGCTTTTTCCCCCCCTCTCTCTCGATGCCCTGAAAACTCAAGCTGGAACTGCTTTATTTTCCACCGGACGTTTCCAAAACTTTGGGCACAGCGGCTTTTTGATCCTGCCAATTATTTTTTTTAAAATGCAACGAGATCTCTCGTGCTCACACGAGGGAAACTCCGAGCTGCAGGAGATGGGCCCTTGCATCTGTCCAGTGGAATCCCTGAGAAACCTACGCTAAACGGGCACACCTTGCGATGTTTTGCGACGTAGAGGTCTCTGCACAGCTTCAGGCCCCCAAATAGAATGGCTGGAGATCATTGGACTGGCTAAAGCAGCTTCTATAAATGGTTTTAAAAATGCAGGCAGCCATTCCGTTCCCAGAGATGTGTTTAAAATCATCTTATGATTTTCCTAGAAACCTGCCTGTTAGGTCAGCATGGACCTTGCAAATCCCTGCCCGACCTCTTTTGAACCATCCCACCAACTGAATTTCCCACAATGCCTAGCACCCACGTAGGATGGGAGGTTTTAAAAGATGCTACGGGTAGCATCGTGGCATTGTGGGCTGGCTGACGGACACAGAAACCCCTCCCTTCCCGAGGATGCCTTGTGTCATTTCCAAACCCCCCTTTCTCTCCCCCCCCTCAAAAAAAAAGAGGCAATAATGACTTTGGAGGACCTAGCTTTGAGCCAACGGCTCTCCTGTCTTTCCACGTCAATCTGTGTTCTACGCGTCGGCGAAATGATCTTTTATTGTTGTAATTTGTTTGTTTAATGGGTGCTGTTGCAGCACTGACTCAGGGAACGGGGGCTAAGGAGGGACGTGTCTGGCGAAGAGGCATTGGAAGCCCCCTCCCCCCAAAGACTCATCTTAATTCTGTTCTGAAGGGAGGCACGACTCATCACCTGCTCACAGTCTCCCTGCAGTCTTTCCACGCAAAAGCCCATTTTCCACGGGGACCCCAAACCTCACGGCTTGGAAAAATTCTCTACTGGAACTTGGAATCTTCCCCGTCCAATAAAAGAAGATTTTGATTTTGCTGGCCAGTGTAGCGATCATGCTTTCCCCTCCCTGACACTGCTCCAAGGGGGGGAAGGTGTCTTTCAGGGGTTAGTTACACCCCAACAACGGGGGAGCCCTGCTTGCAGTTTATCCCAGCATTTTTAACAATTTTGCAGAGGGCCAAAACTGGCAGTGGATGTACTGTCCAGGGTCCTGATGTCTATCCCCTCTCTTATTTCCTGTGCTCTTGAGTGGGTATATCCTTTGGTGTATGGATTACAAGCTGGAAGGTGTCTGAAATATTTGGGGTAGCTGCAGAAGAATGGGGGGGGGGGAAACGTGCCATTGGCTGATAATGTCTAATAAACACGAGCGCTTCCTTCTGTGATGTTTCCCTATCGTTTCACCTCTATTGCGGATCGTTGCCTTGCCTCAAAGTAACTCCTGAAGCTGCTAATAAATCAGGGTGGACAGGTATGGGAGGGTTGAAAGGGCAGAGGGATACCCCGATGTCGTGCGCCCTGGCGTGCAAACGCCACAAGCTCGCCTCACCCTGATTGAGACGTACAGAGTGCCTGAAATGGGGAGGATTTTCACGTGCCTCCCTGCTTGTTGTTTGCTTAGAGATGGTCTGGCATCATCCTAAAAAGCAAGACAGGAAAAATTGGGAGTGTGCCTCAGGAAGGAGGCAGCCAAACCCACACTGGCAGTTGTGCAAAGAAAAAAAAAATTGCAGCCCTAGAGAATGCAGAATAACAGAGTTGGAAGGGAGGTCTTCTAGTCTAGCCCCCTGCTCAAGCAGGAGACCCTGCCTACGCCATTTCAGGCAAGTAGTTGTCCAGTCTCAAAAGCCTCCAGTGATGGAGCAACCACAACTTCTGGAGGCAAGTTGTTCCACTGGTTAATTGTTCTCACTGTCAGGAAATTTCTCCTTAGTTCCAGGTTGCTTCTCTCCTCGGTGAGTTTCCATCCGTTGCTTCTTGTCCGGCCTTCAGAAAGTGCTTTGGAGAATAGGTTGACCCCCCCTCTTCTTTGGGGCAGCCCCCCAAACCCTGGAAGACTGCAATCACGTCACCCCTCATCCTTCTCTTCATTAAACTAGACATACCCAATTCAGCAACCGTTCTTTATATATTGTAGCCTCCAGTCCAAGCCGTTCCACTGATTAATTGATCTGGGATTATAGAATAACAGAATGAAGGGATCTTGGAGGGATCTTGGAGGTCTTCTAGTCCAGCCCCTTGCTCGGGGGGGGGGAGCCCTATACCATTTCAGACAAGTGGCTGTGGAATCGCTTCTCCAAAACCTCCAGTGATGGAGCACCCACAATTTCTGGAGGCAAGCCGTTCCACTGGTTAATTGTTCTCAGGATTCTTTGGTAGATAGGCTTTGGGGTTTTTTTGGGGGGAGGGGAAACCCCTAAAATGCTTTGCCTCTCCCTCTTTATTTCCCAGTGCTGTTGGGCCAAGACTCAAGCATGGATCAGGAAGGCCGCTTTTCGAGTCGTTCGGTGTGTCTTCCTCGGAGTTCACAGCCAGCCAAGTGGCCTTTGCTGAGATGGATAATGAGGGAGGCCAACTTCTTTTGAAGATCACTTTCAGGGACTCCAAAGGTTAAACGCCTGCTTAGCGGGGCCTATTGAAGGCTGAGGCAGGGGTCTGGCATTGTTTGAACACCGGCTTTGTTTGGCTGCTTTCCGAGGACGCTGCCAGTGTGTGTGTGTGTGTGTGTGTGTGTGTGTGTGTGTGTATACGCAGGGCGGTCTCCTCTCCCTCCAGGCCGAGGGGGCTCCAATGCAGCTGGAAGGGTTTTCTAGCAAGTGGGGGTGGGTGGGTGGGTGACAGACAGGGGTCTCTAGCTTGCATTCTTTCTCGGTGGCAGTTTAACCCCAGCTCTGCCTCCCTGATCTCTGCATGACACCCCATTACCACATGAATGGGGAGAAGAAAGCGTCACTCCCTCTGACCTTTCCCCCCACCACCACCGGCCCCCCAGGGCCAGCGGCTGGGCTGGCTCTCCGCTCTGCTCCCCCCCCTTTCCTCACCAGACCCTTGTTGTTCTGAGCTGCTGCAAAGGGGCGTTCAGATCCGAGGCTGGCAAAAGCAAACAAAGCCCCCCCCTCCTCCCTGCCTGCCCCGGGTCAGGAAGCCCCCATTGTCATGGTTGCTCCTGCCCGGGCTCTGGAGGCCTCCGCCCCTGCTCCATGGTGCTCCATGGCGGGCTGGCAGGCAGGCCGGCTGGTCAGGGTGAAGGGCCCCGGCAGCTGTAGGCAGATGCCCCCAAAGGCTTGATTGGAAATTAATTGGGTCTTTTTAGAGGGGGGAGGGCTTGTAAACTGTCTGGACCTCTATTATCAGTTCCTTCCCCTTTCCTTCCTTCCTCTCATTCCCAACTCCTTTCTTCTTTCCGTCTCCTTTTCCCTTTCCTTTCCTTCCTTCCTTCCTTCCTCTCTCATTCCCAACTCCTTCCTTCTTTTTTCCTTTCCCCTTCTTTCCTTCCTTCCTTCCTTTCCTTTCTCATTCCCAACTCTTTCCTTCTTTCCGTCTCCTTTTTCCTTTCCTTTCCTTCCTTCCTTCCTCTCTCATTCCCAACTCCTTCCTTTTTTCCTTTCTTCCTTTCCCCTTCTTTCCTTCCTTCCTTCCTTTCCTTTCTCATTCCCAACTCTTTCCTTCTTTGTCTCCTTTTTCCTTTCCCCTTCCTTCCTTCCTCTCATTCCCAACTCCTTCCTTCTTTCCGTCTCTTTTCATTTCCCCTTCCTTCCTTCCTTTTCTTTCTCTCATTCCCAACTCCTTCCTTCTTCTCCTTTTTCCTTCCTTCCTTTCCCCTTCCTTCCTTCCTTCTTCCTTTTCTTTCTTTTCCTTCTCTTTCCTACCCTCCTTCTTCTCTCTCTCCTTCTCTCTTTCTTGGGTTTTTCGTGAGAACGAGCCCCAAGCCCTGGCCATACAGAAACTAAACCAGGAGATCAGTTGAATCCAAGACCATCCACGGTGTTATATCAAGGTGTATCCTGCATTTTTCATTGTTTACTCATTTTCCATTGTTTCATAAGATTTATTTATCAAATAAACGCGTATTGCACATCCCAGTTTTAACACCATCAGGGTTATTATGCTTTTTTTTCTCATTAAACACTTGCAAAGAAAAAAAAAAGCACCCTTTCCTTTCCAAA